TGATCTTCTCGTTCAGGGTGTCCTGAATCTGCTGCTTCGTCTGCTCCACCAACTGTAACTCTCGCGCTTTCTATTCTAATTCTCGCTTGAGAGCATCAACGCTTGTCTTCTTCTTCAAATACTTCCTATAGATAGTATATAAACATCTTAATTGTTAATGCTGATTATTACTTCTTAAAAGCTTTGTACTTATCTTCAAGCAACTTCAAATCTTTACTTTTATCCTCTGAACTTCCTTGGTTTTCTTCTATTTCCAAATATTCCGCCAGTTACTTTAGATACATTTCAGTCATAACTCTTGATAACTCAGCATTATTTTAATCTTAAACGACTATAGAGCCATTTAAGTCATTTGCTGTGAACTAAAGAGATTGAGCTAATTGATCCCCTCCATTCGGTAAAGTCAAGAATACCCCTGTCTCGTCAAAAGCCTATGATTATTCCTCAATTATAACTTCAAGTGGATCATCTGTGTGATGAATATTAAGGACTTATTCTTAAACAACTAAATTGTTTAGTGGAATATCTGCATTAACATCAAACTCTTCAATTAACACAGTGTCAATAGTCTATGGGATCATGGCAGGCCCAAGATCATTGGCTAGTGGAATATCATTCTTATCATCTTGATTCAATTAATTTTGCAATACTAGAATGTGCTAATCTCAAATCTTGATCTCATTCATTTAACTTTAAATCAATTACTATTTACACATTATTAGCACAGTTAAAGAAATATACCTCTTTCTCATCAATTATTTTGTTAAGTTAAGCCACCTGCTCTTCATTATTTTACTGCTGTGTTTGCATACCCATTTTAAGCTAGATAGTTATTGTAAATAATTGAATTAGACTACACCACTTACTCTTGCATTTTCTCCTTCTAAGGCGCTAATATCATTGCCCAACTCTGAAACTCTATAATACTATTTAGACGCTTTGATTACTACCTTTTCTCTAAATTTTAAATGAGATCATCTTTTTGCTTGGCTAGATCCTCACTCTGTAAATTGAATTTTATAAATTAAGAGAGTTACCATTTTCCCCTTTTTAAACTAATTTAGATAAATTAAAATCTATACATTTTCACTTTTAAAATCTATAATTTCAATTGGGGTTTTGGGGTTTTGGGGTTTTGGGGTGAACTCATCCTGG